GTGTGTGTGTGTGTGTGTGTGTGAGAGTGTGTGTGAGTGCGTGCGTGCGTGTGTGTGTGTGATATTGGTTATGAGACGAGGAGGAGAGATGTGAGCCCTGAGGAGGGAACACATGAGAGAGTTATGTCTTCACGCTGCTTAGCAGACGTCTCTCTGATGGATCTGAGCTTTTACTGCAGTTCATCTCCGACATGTTGTTGAGAGGAATGTGAAGCATCAATGAGTTATTAGAGGCAAACAGTCTGACTGAGGAGAACACGGAGCCCCTGGAAAGGAAACAGGAGTTTACATCATGTGAGCCGCTCGGCTTCATCTATATTTGAGCAGCAATGAAGTGTGTCAGCGCCGAGGGGCAGAGCGGTGAACACGGCAGGAATTAAACCTGTGATCTAACAGGAAGTGTCTCATAATGAGGCACACGGCTTCATGGTACTCACGTCTCTACAATGAGGATGGGATCGTTGGATTATTAGTATATTTATTATTTGTTATGAATGATTTGTGGAATGTCTCATTCTCTCTCATTCAAAGATGATTCACTGATCATGGAAGCTAATGCTGCATGCTTCAGATTAAATAAACCATCTTTGAATGTAAAAAAATCGAACTTTATTATTTTCAGTGGCAAAACAATCATACAAAATGTAACTTGAGTCTGTTGAGATGCCTCACGTGTTATTTTTGAAGAGAGTTGGAGTTTGAGTGAACACGTTGATCTATTCATAATGTAATACATCTACTGGACCGATCAGGAGGGTCACACTGTTGTTTCCACTCACCGTCCTCTTCCGTCTGTTTGACGATCTCCTCGCTCTCCTTGCTGCCTTCCAGGTTGGCGAGGACCAGACGCAGTCTGACAGTGACGAAGGGCCTCAGGCCCCTCAGGGTGTAGTGGGACGAGGTCTGGATCAGCTCCTCCGCTGCAAACTCCTGCTGGTTGAACACATACTGGTACTGGACCTGGAACACAGAGGGAGAGAAGGACCTTCATGACACTGATGTGGAGCACAACGAGCTGTGAAGCTGTGAATGTTAAACTTACCGTCAGGTTGTAGCTGTGGCAGCGAGTCACTGCGTACCCAAACGTCTCCCACTGGATGGTCAGCTGACGGGCTCGGACGTCCACCACGTTGACATTTTGGGGACCGTGGACCGGATCTGAAGGAGAGACGGACAGAGAAGAACGTTCATTCATCAGGAAACACAGAAGGTCGATACAAAGAGATAATGTGGACCATTCTTCTGTGGAGAAACTCTTTATTATTATTATTAATATTATTAATATCTGAACGTTCGGTTACAAGATAATGTCTCAAGTTGTCTTTGACGTCTGATCAGCTGAGGATCCAAAATCTGTTTTTTACAAACTAATCACAAATAATTCTTCAAAATTTATCCACCAATGATTTTTCATATCAACATCTTTCATAAATTGAGAATATAATCTAACTCACTGAGCTCCAGAAAGAGACTATTTTTAATATTTCACTCACATTCCAGAGGAGCAGAATGTTGATATTCATGTTTTTATGAAGTCTCTGTGATACGGATCAGTGGATCCAACCAGTGGTCTCTATTACTGCCCCTCACACACACACACACACACACACACACACCATATGTTGCAGGTTTGAACCCCGACTGACTGAACTCTAAACCGATCTCTCTGTTTGTCCACTTAGTTCACTGCATCATCAGAGAAGATACAAAGAGATGTTGAGGGAAGAAGAGCTGCTCCTCTTCAAACAGACACAGGAGAGAAGAGTCTCGTTCATGAAGTCTGAGTCGGAGGATCGCTCCTCTGATCCTCAGCACACATTTAAACTGACGGAATGTTTAAAGTCAAAGTCTGGAGCTAAAGATCCTCATTGTTCTGAGCTCCTAGAGTCCTTGAGCAAGGCACTGACTTCACTGATGTTTGACTACAAAACGTTCACATTTTATAGTAAAGTTTGAACTTTATTTAAGTTAATTTATTACTAAATGTGTCCATCAGGAACATTAAGCATATTTTTTCTTTTCTTTCTCACTTTATAAATGAATGAAAAGTTACTATTAACCTTTCTTGGGCAATAACTTAAAACCTCATCATTTTCTATTTAAATGATAAAAGCCAAACTAATTGATGGCTCCTACAATAATTGCTCAACCTATGAAACGTAACCCTAGAGGGTGATTATGAGATTGTTCAGACAAGCTGCTTAAAGTAAACGTAAAATCAGTTTAACGAGACACGATTAGACAGAACGTGGATGATCCGTCTCAGGTCTTCAGACGGACCGGATGTCTTTAGGGTTCAGACTCCAGGCTCCATGTGGTGCCGTCTGTTTGTAGACAAAGCCGAGTAGTAATCTGGAGAACAAAAGGCAGCGATAGACCGGCATTCTTGTTTCCATTTGACGACAATCAGATAAAAAAGATATCCGTTTATGAGATTAAGTATTAATATAGTGTTAAATATGAATATAGTATTAATGTGCTGGGCAGAGAAACCTGGAGCCACTGAAGTGATCGTCTCATGCAGAATCATGCAGAGATTTGATTTCATAGTTATAGCTTGTTATAAAAATGAAAGGTATAAACAGTAGATTATTCACATCACAGTCTGATGAGAAGAGCAAACATCTGATCTAAAGACGTTCCAGCAGGAACCAAAGCGAGCGAACCTGTAATCAAACACATCAGTGATGTTCCTTTAATGAACGCTGTAATTCCTCCATTTGAGACATCATCACTCGTCACTGAGCCGCAGAGACTCAAAGGAATCAGCAGGTTTTACCAACGATAGTCATAAATTAGTGCAAAGACTGTGAGCATGTTTCTGTGAGGAGATTATGCTCAGAGGTCTGGAGGGAACAACACAGCAGCTTAATCTCGCTGTTAGCTATGATGGGGGCTAATCTCTCATAATCTGGTCTGGTGATCAGCGGGAGCTCCTCTGATCATTTCCGTTTGGGGGGGGGGGGGGTATACTTATTACTGTACAATCACACTGAGAGGAAGAGAGTTATGAATTATATATTTGTTTATACAAATATATAAGGTGAGGTCGATGATGAAGATGATGAAGATGTCTCTCAGGCTGCCCTTGGTCCTGATAAATGCCACATCTCTCTCCTCCATCCTCAACCCTGCAGCCTCCTAAAGTCATCTCTCCT